AATTTACAAGTGTGACATGAGGATCTGTATTGTTATCCAACAGATTCAAACAAATATCTCTGAATGTGAAAATTCTTATTTTGGGGATATTTGTAATCAAATGTTGATACGATGCCAAGTAGATTTTGACAAACTTCAATAATAAATAACTAATTAAATTTGTAAAACCTTTTTTTACCCATTTTTTCCTCAGTATGAGTCAGACATGTTATTTGTGATTGACTACAGAAATTGTAGTTAAAAGCTCTGTCTTGCATATGAATTATTACTTGTAGTACAACTTTTCTTTTATTGGATCTGTCCCCATGCTGGGAATACAAAATGTACATGTACAGAGACATCAGTTATATTATTTTTAATAAAATATTGACAATTGCCAATGTGTCTTAATTGCTGTGAAAACAGTTTTATATTTTGTTCCCTACACACATTTAGAACTATAAAACCATGTACCTAGGGGGTGATCCTTGTTGACAATACAACTGCATTTTATTTTAACTGATTCTAACTGGCTAAAAACAATCACACCAGCTCTGCTGGGCACAGCCAACCATTTTTCAATCCAATAATTTCATCTGTATTCCGGAGAATCTTTTTTCTGGTGTATCCACTGGCAAGGTTTCCAGCTTTATTCAAAAACTCTTTTTTTTAAACCAAAACTACATACGACATAGTAGCTAACAAACAGAAACAATCTGAAACTAAAAGAAACAAAATTAAAAATTAGTTCATTTGTATTTGCAGCTCCTATTCACGTTACGTCACGATAAATTATTCAATTATAGCGGCAAACACAGGGATTTCGCTGTAGTTTTCCACGGTTTTCGTCGTGAAAACGACCAATTTCGGACCATCGTCCTCAAAATAATTGATGAAAAAGTTTCGGAACCCATCGACAGTAGAAACTTGAGGCGAAAATAATGAAAAAAACTGCTCTTAATGCCCGACCTGATTTCAGGTCAATAAAATAGAGCAACTTGCATAGGATGGAACTGTAGCTCTCTGATTTCGCGTTAACACCACGACGAACGAAATACCCGACAGCGAAACCAAGCAAGCTACAGAACTGCAGTTAACCTCCGACGCAAAATAACAAAAAGTGATTGATTGAGATCCATCATTACAAATGAATACAAACAAAATTGCTTCAATTTTCACAATATCATGTCATACATACACTGTCAGTTGACTAAAGTTGTCTGTCGTTTATTTTTTTTAACAAGAAACGAATCTATAAATACACAATATACCATAGACCCTCCAGTCTATGAATATACTTACCAATAACAACTCCGAAATCTTCACGCTGACGAAAAACAAAATGGCGACCATAACAAAACCACTCGCGTAATCTTACACATGTTACAACGAATTTGATTGGCTGCTGTTTTTCTCGTAAATTGTGAGACTGGAACGAGAGTTCCTATGCGGGTTGTTCAGATCCAGGTGGCTTTCACGAACAAAACCATTTTTGCAGCAAAATAATTGTAACGTTAAAAAATAATTAAAATAAATAATAATAATAATTATAGTAAATAATTAAAATAAATGATAATTATATAAAAAAAAAATAAAAAAAAATTAAGCCAACCAGGATCTTATTTTAATCAGATTGGCAACACAGTATCTTATATGAATCGTTCTACCAACGTCTAATATCTGTATAATTCTATTACCCGCGATTATTGCAGGTGTTGTCAAATTTCGGAAACGAAGATACCACTGGTGGCTATATTATACTCGTGTCTGACGGCGAAGAGACCAGCGAACCAATCATCGACGATATCTGGGGCGATATTGAGTTGGCTGGAGTTGTTATTGACACAGTGGCCTTTAGTGACAAAGCAGACAAAAAGCTAGAATCTCTGGCAACCAAGACGGGCGGATTGTCATTTTTCTTCTCCGGCAACGATGATACTACCGCCCTGTACGATGCGTTCACAAGCACAATCACAAAAAGACCAGGGGAGTCAAGTAACAATTTGCCTATCCAGGTAAAGTCTGACTTCGGTTTTACTTGTCATAAAAAAACGGGCGTCGCAGAAGAATTCCCGAGTTATGCGTATGCTGGTCTCATTTGTTTTATCATCGTGGGAAACAGTTCTTTTGAACTTAACCAACTGACGGAAAACACAGATATATTATGCGCTGTGATAATGAAGCATACTTAGGATTTTATAATGACACGGAATGAACTCGGGCATGCGCAATATATTCTGCCCATTGTTCTTGCAACTGTTCTCATGTACTTGTGCTGTAGCATGACATCAAATATAATAATGATATATAGCATGAATAAATTACAAAAGATGTTCAATTTTTGTTAACAAATCATATAATTATACATGTAACATTTACGTTTGTAATATTTATGTTATCAATCGCCTTTGTAATTATAGCTCTACAGTGGTGTCGTAAAGATTCCGTCTAAAGCCGCCAAAACCGATTCAGTCTCCTTGGACTCGGCTCTTGGTAAAATGACCCTGTTCTCGTTCACCTGGACCACAAATGAAGTAAGCGTAATAATGACGTCACCGGATGGCATCGAAATAAGTATTAATGACGTTGACATCTATAAGGTAGACAGAGCTTTGAAAATGATTTCAATAAAGATTCCAGAAATAGCACAGGTAAATGTTTCCTTTAATTTATATTCTTAGTGGGCGGGACTAGGTGGTGCGTGGAGAGGAGCATGTTCAAACGTCATTTAGGGTATCTTGTGTAGGAATAAATATGTTTAATATAGATAGTTTGAGGATTTTAACATTGATTACCAAAAAAACCCATCGTGAAACACAATAACTAAACAATGGTTCAAATGCAGCGGTTTTATATAAAAGGATTTATTTATTTATTTGGAACTAAATAAATCAGAAAGAATGGAACAAATAACCAAATCCACACCAAAATAGTTCCATAAAGGTTTGAATTTTTTCCAGCAAAGGTCAGACATTCACAAGATTATTTAAACTGTTCTTCTCAAAGTAAAATATTTGTAAATGTTTATATATTCTGCCCTGAAACGAGTGTTTCCGAATTTCTATCCCTATTACGATTATTTGCAATTCAACCTTATGGAGTTGAAGGCATAATGTATTAAATTATACGATTATTATTATTATTACTATGATTACACTGTGAATATTATATAATTTATTGTAGAGTGGTAAATGGACATATGTCATTAGTAACATCCACCGGTCGGACGAAGTCGTCAATGTCGGCGTGAAATCGGAGCGCAAAAGTATGGATGTTGAACCGATACTGTTGAGATCACAGCTTGATTCTACACTTGTTGACTACAGTCAGGGACGTGCCCCAGTGATTATTTACGCAGAGGTCACCAGAGGTTATCATGCCGTTGTGAATGCTTCAATTATTGCCTTTGTCGACAACACAGAGGGCTATACGGAACAGCTTCGTCTGCTAGACAACGGGGCAGGTACAGACACCCCTTTTATGGCTATTTAGCTGAAATTGACATGATGCCATTATATGCTAAGATTATGTACAATAAATAATATACGTTTATGTTGATTTTTTTGGAGTTGGTAAGAGGTCTAAAGATTATGATTTAGTATGCTGTTACTCGATATGTATGTTGTATTCGTCACATGGAACTCATCTCATACGCGATGGTGGTGGTGGTGGTTGTGGTGTGTGTGTGTGTGTGGGGGGGGGGTCGATGACAGTGGCGCTATAACTGAAACGACTCGTCATTTCTATCCCATAATTCATTGAACATCTGTTTAAACCCTTTGATTTCTTTTGATAAGTATATCCCGGAGACAGCATGCCTAATGATAATCAATGTTGTGATTAGCAATATATGTGTACGTGTGTGCAGACGTCAAAGAATGTATGACGCTCATCACTATTGTCAATAAAATATTTCATTGAAACATTGTTTATCTTCGAGTCTACGCCATTGTGGACATTATGCGGGCCAGTACCCGCCGTATTTACGTATCCTGCGAATTTTTAATTTTTGGCGAATATTTTTTATCATTTTTCGTAAAAGATTCTATTTTCGACTTCTTCGTGAAAACTACTATTTAAGTTGCTTTGATACTTTGTATTTAGGTACCATGGGCTGACCTCGAGATTTGTAAGAAGACAACAACAACTGTAATTGTCATGGCAACAACAAACTAATTGGCTGAAATATTGTGCGAACACTAATATGCAAACAGTTAACATCTCATCGTACAGAACATTATCCACTTTGTTTTGAGGAAGAGACTATACAAAGACAGCGGAGCTATTTCGACTGTAAAAGTCGCTTGTTAATAACCGGACGTAACAGTGATGACACTGTATTAATCACATTGCGCCATTACTATCATGGAGATAATTACCTTGTTATTATTCGTCATTGCAGGATCGGATATCACAAAAAATGACGGCATTTACTCATCGTATTATTTTAACTTCACCAGTGATGGGCGGTATGGTGTCCAGATTAAAGTAGATAACTCCGAAGGGTCTGCTAAGTTAAGAACGCGCGTCAATGGCCGTAGCAGAGCTTTCCCCCGTGGAGTTAGTACTGGTAAGTTTTAGCTTGTTTTGGACGTTTTGAAAAAGTACACCACGTTGTATAACTTGCTTTCCGTACTAATTAACGTGATATTATTCAGAAAAAAACTGATATGCGTTGTGTTTTGTTTTATTTCTACATGTAAACATTAATTCTCAGTTGGCTAGTATTGTTGTTGAATTGAATGATCGAAGTGAATGCATTACCAAATGTATATTTTTTTCTCTCAGATGGTAGGATTTCAGAACCAACGTATGAGGACGCGGAACAGTTTAATCGAGCGAACAGTGCGGGTACATTCGAGGTTACTGGGTATTACACGGACCCGAACGCACCATTAGATGTATTCGCTCCGTCAAGGATAATAGATTTAGAAGTTGTGTCGACCTCACATGAACACCGGACTGTTGTACTGCAGTGGACTGCGACAGGCAACAATTTTGACCAAGGAACAGGTACTTCTAGATTTTGTCTGATTACAAGTCAGCAGAATTGACATACTGTTAAAAATATCTTATGTAATCAAACCAATCGTGTTATATCTTCCACGGGGGGGGGGTCACTCTATATCAAAACCTTACACCATGTGCGTTCTTGCTAAAAAATAATAGGCCCCTAGGGCTGGCAGCACATTGCCAAACCATACCCCCTATTTCGGGCGCACTGTAAATGTAGTACCCCATATTGAAGAAAAAAAACCACCCCTATTGCAGACATATATTGAGAACATCCTACTCCTATTGCGAGCATTCTCTGCCGTTTTTTTCACTCAAGTGGGGTGTGATTAACTCAAACAAGCTATGGCCTAGGGTGGTGTATGGGAGTAGTTGTTGCAAGAAGGGGCCTACAGCGGGCGCAGCAACCCTGCGAGTGTATTCCTGGAGGCCTATTGCAGACATTAGAATTTTAAAGGGGGCTTATTTGCCTCCCGCGCGGGTCCGCTTTAGAAGGTGAAAAACACACCTTTCCCCGCTAAATTTGGAACGCACATGGGGTAGTAACGGCATAAAGAGTGATCCCCCCCGGGTTATCTTCTCGTGCAATAATTTGTGTTGGCTGGTTTTCCCGCCTCAAGTGTCCTGGCGCACCAAGCTAGTAATGCTTACAGCATTCTGATTGGTCCATCCCATTCTCGTTCCTTGTTCTATTTCCCTTGGTTATCTGACTTCAGCCCTTACCCTCGTGGTCGTTTCATATATAAAGCAGATGTTTCCCACGCTTTCAAAAGTTGTACGAATATAAGACTGTTTTTTATTACTTTGGACAAAAATAGGCAGTAATGCAGGGGCGATACAGAATTTTTTTAGGGGGGTCCAAACTTTAAAATCGCCAGACAAAGTTAATGATTTTTTTTATATTATACAAAAACAAATTAAATACATTTTGCAACGGGGGGGGGGGGGTTTGGACCCCAAGAACCCCCCTCTAGATACGCCACTGTAATGTTAGAACTACCTCAAGTATATATAAGGTCGAAGCAGGGGAATGAATGGACGCGACATTATCGTAATATTACAGATACGTATACGTAGAACGGAACTTGAAATGTTTTCAAATTACGTCACTCAGTCACGTGCAATGGGCCGGAATCTCGGCCCAGTGGAACAATATGGCGATTACTAGTTACCTGCTTCCTAATTGCCATTCGAAAGAAACGCCGGGAACCAGCGAATAATTTTCATCGCTAAGTTGCAAGCATCACAGCTACAGCGCCCTCCACGTCTGAATATACGTACCGCTTGATTCACGGATATTGATTCGTAAAAAAACACGAAAGCTATCTGAAATGATTGAAGGTTATATTACATTATGTTTTATACATAATACGAGGGTCCATTGCCCAGTTGTAAAAAAAAATATTCCAAGTAGGACCTAGATTTCCTTAGTGAAATCTAGCTGTATATTGGTTTTAATTATTTATTTGACAATCGTCTAGGTTTCACAGTACAAATATAATTTGTCTCGAGAGGCGGATCAATGTATTCCTATTTTGAAACGACTATATGCAAATGATGACATGCTTGCATTTTAATAATACGAAACATAACCGAACGTTGATTTTGTGAGTGGAATTTTAGCGAAAACTAACCGGATTTTGAATATGCAATATTGACGAAAATGTGTCATTTTATAGTATTGGTGTTTGGTACTGTATCCTGATAGATACGTGGGACTAGGATATATCAATATTTACCAATATTGAAATGTTGGTCTTCCAAAATATACATGCTTATTCTATTTTGCATACAGTGAATAATATTGTGTGTGTGCTACAAATGAAACATTAATGGTTTACAATGAATCACATTCCAATTCGCTCATCAACCTGCAGTTTCAAACAAAAAATATGTTTTTAGTTCATATTGCATGTTGAAATTACCGACTGGTATATTTAGAATGAATAAGCAGCTGGGTAAACCTCGCTGTGAACATTTGAAATTAGATTGTTTATTATTTGATGTAAATAAAAACCAAACCACAATAATTGTGTATTTTGTTCTTGATGATTTTAGGCGTTAGTACATTGTCGTGTACAGGTGGATTTACTGTAGCATGAAACTGCCTAGATTACCTACAATCGACTCTAACGTTAACAGCTACACACATTTGCATTTGCAATCAAATAATATTATAAACAATTTTCCCAACAGCGGCTGAGTACGATCTACGAGTCAGTGAGGATATCAACGTTTTGTACGATGACCTTGAAACAGCCTATAAACTTGAGAATGATGATGTGACTGTCGGGGATCTCACGGCACCATTGGCTGCTGGGTTAATACAACGCATAACAGTTAAGATTCCATCCACCGTGGATAAGACTGCCATCAAAATATCTTTTTCGATCAGAGCGTTAGATAACGCTGGCAATCGTGGTGACCCGTCCAACGTTGCTACTGCTACATTGTACGCCCCGGGCGCTGACGCCGTAGTAATTATAGTAGTGGTTTTTGTCGTACTCGTTTTCTTAATATTGCTGGTCATTGCAGTATGTGTGGGGATTGTATTATACAGGAAGAAGCAGACAAAGGCGAAGACATCCACGGCTGAACGAGCAACATTCACTACCAAGGCAACAACAGCAACAGTAGTTGTGAAGAAAAACACTCCTAAAGGCGGATTAAAAGTGATGGTATAAATATAGCAAGCAGTTGAACGTACATTTAGTATCCACGCCGTTATATGATGGCCATTATCGGAGGTGACAAGGTTCATAATGATAACCATTCATCAAGGCTACAAATTGCGGATATTTCTATGCCTTTGAATGTATATATTTATTTATTTTGTTTATACATTAACTATGTTGTGTCCGATCTGCTCACTACAATTAAAACACGTTTTTATTTTTTTGCAACCATAGCCATTTTTACCTGAAAGCGATTTGATATTGCTCATGTAACGTTGACTCGACATTGAATTTGGTAGATAACATCTTGACACACTATTTACTAACCATTTGTTTTTATATTTATTTTGTGTGTTCTCATTTGAAATGATTGTCTCACATTGGTCGATGATAGAGAAGTTAAAATCTGTCAACAAAAAACACAAATAACATAAACTATATTGTTCACAGCTTCCTTTTGCGTTTCAAAGTACTGATTTGTCGAGGATATATATATGTTGACACTGTCGCCAAGAATTTTTAACACTCGCTTGCATTCCATTTCTGTAATATAATTCCTTTTTTTGCACCTCTTAAAGAGGCATCATTGTATATATCGTAGTACTTTTCTCATATTGTCATCTTAATATATGTTAAATTTGCTGTAGAATTAGGATCACAGTGCCAATATTGTGTGTTATCCATTTATTTATAATAATAGTCATCCTAGAAGACGTAGTGTATTTTTCATAGTCAATTAACTTTTGTTATTGGTGCATGATTTACTTAAAGCAGTAATCATTACTTGTTATTATTTGTATTCAATAATTTTTATAATAATATTTGAGTGTTTTAACACGTTGTCATCGTGTCATGTTGTTTACAAATGTGTATGTCTCGGTATATCCACTGCTACAAACAAACAAGTATTACAACCTATATTTTATAAATATTCTGTATCCCCTGACATAGGCAATATATCATGATTGACGAGTACGATGCTTTCGTCATCATAGTACACAGATAATTACAACATCGAAACTCAAAACAATGAAAGGAAGCAGCATGAATATCATCCAGATAATCATCAGACTTTTCAAGTTTTTTTCCGTTGATTTAATTAGAGTTTAATCACAGACAACCAATGGAAACGCTACTTCAATATACATTTTTTTCTTTACAATTTGAATTCAAAATCAGTCTAATTACCCACATATCATTATTGTCAATAACGTTGTTGGTAACAGGAGAAGTGAGTAAATGATGAATCTGCGTCTGTTGTCGTCGTAGTCATAGTCGTCAATATTCATGTGAATACGTATGATAACATGAACAGTTAACTTGCTTGTTTCTTTAGTGTATGATCAGAATTAGTATCGAGAATACAATTACAATTTTAGTCAGCTCACATTTAAAGTTACGTATTGCATATAAGTATTATTCGTCGTCATCAGCAAATATATAGAATATATGCTATTTCAGTATTGGATGTTTCAGCATAATATGGAAGATGCAAATACAGACGTTATCGCATATAAATATGGCCCTCCAATTTACTCTCTCCCCTGTATATATTTTATCATCCAATATCTACCACGAATTACCCCTCCCCCAGAACAAACAATACCGGTCCATTACGCCACAAATATATTATAATACCTCTAATACACGTATTCTGCCGTTCATTAATAAACGTGATGTATAACTACTTTCTCCTCACTCTAATATAATATATTGTATTCTATTGAGCCCCCCCTCCACTCATAACACAAAACAGTAAAAGACGTTCTGTGCTCCACAATGTAGTAATCCACCCGACCATATAATTTGCCCTTCAATATTCCCTCTAAGGTAGAGACGCAGTTTACCTGACAGGTAATTTAATTAGTTAATTAGGAAAGATGACCTCCCTTGTCCACAAAACTATATATTTTCGGAAAGCTTATTGTATGAATTTTAAAATTTTGTTAGTATTTATTTTTCATTGACACTGTAGTTTGAAATATGCATAAAAATGTGCTTTTATGGTCAAAAGTGATTTAAAAAAAATAACTTCTAAACCATGTTTCCTGTCAAAATTGGTTTATGGGTACATCTGTTTACTATGAAGAAAGTGCCGTCTTGAAAACTGTCTACCCGTTGTCAATTTTGCAGGGCAGGATCAAATTTTACTACTTCAAGTTTATGCATAAATTAACACCCAGGCTAGTTGTCTGTACGATTGTTGTAACACTGTTCAGCCAAAACCAATGCCCCGACGGCGTTTTGAAGATAAATACATTGTCAATCATTTGCTAAAAATATCAAAGCAAAAGGTCAAAGCGTCTAGAAGCTATTTTTTTAAAGTTCTGGGATGTGCACAAAAAGGAAGCTGAGATAATGGTAATTTACATAACAATTCACTCAGTAAGAAGTTTGCTAATGCTCATAATTAAAATGGCTGTAACAGTTCCAAATTTAAATATATAATCGTTTTGTTAAAGTTAAATATAGTGCATAATATGGAGATCCCGTCATTTCTTTTTTTCACCATGTTTCTTTTTGATTATTTATGTACAGCCTTGCTAAATCTTGCTAAGCATTCAAAAGAAAGAATGTTTGCACCTGTTATCTATGTTTAAAATTGTTTTTTGAATATTTTCCACTATTGACAATTCTACAAAATTTTAACAGTCTATAGCCAAGACTATTTGGATAATAAAAAGCAAAAAAAAAAAAATTCACTCCCAAGTGCCTACGAACCTGCATAATATAAGGTTATTACGAGTATACCTCAAAGTATGCGCGAAAACAGTACAGCTGGAGTACTGTCTGAGTGCATACTTTGAGGTATTCTCGTAATAACATTATTATACATTCTTTCTTTCCAAGGATACATCATGGGAATGTCGACATCCAAAAAGTTTAGACATTAACAGAATCAGCGAACTTCTTTGTGTAGAGTCTGGTAAAACCCAGATGGCAGCCATGTTTGTTTTTTATTATTAGAGGACGCTTACGCGCGTAATCATTCCATTTGGGATTCTCATTTCATTGATAGAATAAGAATACCCCGTAAAACACCGCACAATTACGACACGCTGTAACTTATGGCGTTACGGTGACAGATGTATAATAATGTAGCATAGTCTTCACGAACAGATAACATGCTCTTATATATACGCTCAGTATTTTTATTATTAATAAACTACTAGTGATTTGTGTCCGTCATTGTGGTGTTAACAAAACGTTTCTAACTCTGACGTTTTTAATCCTATAAAAAAATGCTTCTGTTCGTACAGCGGGCGGATAACGATTGCGAATAAACAACACCGACGTTGCCCGCTTCTGGAATGCATAGCAGTACAACATTTCTGTCATATTTTGTTTTTGTTTTTGACATCTCGAACTTTTATCGAATATCATGCATATGGTTTGCAAATTTGATTCCAAATAAATGCCATTATTTTTCCCAAATGTAATTGTATTTTCATGTATATTGAGGTTTTAAAGTTCATGTAGTTCTGTATTGAAATTTAGTCTCACTGCCCGGTTTTGAAGCACGACATCTTCGTGTAATAAACTCAGAACGGAAGTTTGTATTACAAGTCATCACGGTCGTCCATACTTTAACTTCTTAGTCACATTTGTACTACGACGGAACGATACATCGCAGATAGACACAGAAAAGATGATCGTAAACCTGGGGTGCATCGGATACGGTCTTGAACCTGTCTCGAAGCTGATTTACACATCTTGTTGTTAATGTGGAAGGGGTGATCACTTGAAGGAATGTGTCTATTGTACTGGTAAAATCTTCCTAACCATATAAATAAGGTTGGAGTTATTTGCAATACGCCCATTTCTGATACTAGTAACATGCACGTGACTGGAAAGTTTGTTCTGCAATCGACGACGCGAAATTCAACGGCCGCTTTAGAATTTTAGGTCTACAGTACAACTTTAAAATAAAATTTCAGGAATATCCGAAATTTGCTGTAAACGTGAAGACTGATCCTCAACGGTTTTATTTGTACACTTCGACGTCCATCATTTGACAAGGTAAAACCATGGATTAAATGTAAATATGGCCGAACTGAATGCACCCCAGGTGAAGCGTTTTTACCTATCTAATCGGATACAATCAATGGCGCGTGGTGAATGAGTGTCAATATATTTACACACATGTTCGATCTGGAATCCTTCAGATCCTCTTCAGCTACTCTTAAGAACAGCTGAAGAATACCTTAATTCGACTTAATTCCAGAAGATTAATTAATTACAATATATATCTGCAAGCACACCATGGGGTTACAATCGATGTAGTATGTTTTTTAATAGCCAACATATTGATTAATATGGAGTATTTGAATCATTTTCAACTATTTTGTTTTGTAAAAGAATACCTGTAAATGGTTGCTAAGAATACACCCATCATGGTTGCTAGGAATACATCACTTTAAAAATGCTGATATTAATTTGGCGTGTAATTTATACCATTTCTCTTTCATTGTCATGAAAATTAATAAAGAATCACAGTCATTGAATTTCCCATTCCCTATCTTGATTTGTTTAACGCAATAATTAGATACATGCCCGGTAATTATGTGTAAGTACATTACGAGGCTCTGTGTTTCCCATGCTTACCAAGTTGGTTAAATTATATATATATTATGCGTCTTTAACCCTAGTTGTACCAGACCTACTTTTAATGATTTGATATGATTAGGGCTAAAATAAACCCGTGAATTTCTCCATAATAGATTGATCCAATGATGACCTGCATGAAACCCTAATTACTCGAACAGAATCGATGTACTACAGTGTCACATAAATCCATAATTGTCCACTGTGGCCGAACTACTTTCGTTGAAGCATTGTTCAGGAAACCCTGACATTAACACATTACCGGAGTGTATTGCAGTAACTGTAGATCAGTAATGGAACGTTATGTGTGAATATTTTCAAGAGAACGAATTAGTTATTCATGCATTGATCTTCCACTGCACTGGGAGCAATAAGTGTAATAGTTTCGTCCAACCTCCACCTGC